CAAATATAAGAAGAGGTCCTAAAGTCACCCCTACCCATCCGAGGATTGTATCCAGGAGACCACACCAGCTGACTAGCTAACACAGATGGTCCTTGACTTATATGACCGTTTGTTTAGTGAGCGTTCAAAATTACGACGGCACTGAAAAAAGTGACTTAGGATCGTGTTTCACACTTACGACCATTGTAGCATCCCCGTGGTCGGGTGATCAAAATTCAGAGGCTTGGCAACTGGCTCGTACTTATGACAATCGCAGCCTCCCGGGGTCACGTGATTCCCCTTTTGCGACCTTCGAACAAGCAAAGCCAATGCGGAAGCCAGATTCACTTAACCACCGGGTTACTAACGGCAGCGACTCACTTAACAACGGTGGCAAGCCAGGTTGTAAAATGCAACTAAAACTCGCTTAACAACTGTCTTGCTTAGCAATGGAAATTTTGGGCTCATAATAATAATAATAATAATAATAATAATAAGTAGTAGTAGTAGTAGTAGTAGTAGTAGTAGTAGTAGTAGTAGTAGTTTGGGACCTTGGAGGTCATCTAGTCCAACCCCCTGCTCAGGCAGGAAACCCTATACCATTTTGGACAAATGGCTGTCCAGTCTCTTCTTAAAAACTTCCAGTGTTGGAGCATTCACATCTTCTGGAGGCAAGGAGTTCCACTGGTTAATTGTTCTAACTGTCAGGAAGTTTCTCCTTAGTTCCAGGTTGCTTCTCTCCTTGGTTAGTTTCCACCCGTTGCTTCTTGTCCTGCCTTCAGGCGCTTTGGAGAATAGCTTGACTCCTTCTTCTTTGGGGCAGCCCCTGAGATACTGGAACACGGCTATCGTGTCCCCCCTCGTCCTTCTCTTCATTACAAGTTGTGGCCATTAACTCAAGGACTACCTGTATCCCATTGTGGATGTTTGCACAAGAATCCAAAACTTCTTTTAGTGCACCAGTCTAGTCCCTGCAGCATGTCCAAACTCCCTTCTGGGAATTTTTAGGAGGGGGGGGGGCAGCAGTCTCAGGCCCCCAGCTTTGTCCCTTAAGCCTCTGGCTTNCTCCTCCTCCTCCTCCTCCCCACAAACCCCAGTCACTTCTAGCACTGATGATGCTCCCTAGTTGGGTTGTGAAACATCTGCAAGAAACCCACCAAGCTCAGAGAGCACCAAGGACCTCACAGTCATCGTTCTCTTCCTCCTCCTCCTCCTCCTCCTCCTCCACCCCCCTTCAAGCACTGGTGATGTTACCTAGTTGGGTCATGAAATGTCTGCAAGCAAACCACCAAACTCAGAGAGCACCAAGGACCCCACAGTCCTCCTCCTCATCCTATTCCACCTCCTCCCCTTTGTTCCCCCTTCTCTTACACTCTGCAAACTCCATTCTCTTCTAGCCCTGATGATGTTACCTAGCTGGGTCATGAAATGTCTGCAAGAAAACCACCCAGTTCAGAGAGCACCAAGGACCCCACAGTCATTGTCGTCATTGTCCTCCTCCTCCTCCTCCTCCTCCTCCTCCTCCTCCTCCTCCTCTCCACAAACCCCAGTCACTTCTAGCACTGATGATGTTCTCTAGTTGCGTTATGAAATGTCTGCAAGAAAACCACCAAGCTCAGAGAGCACCAAGGACCCCACAGTCATTGTCGTCATTGTCCTCCTCCTCTTCCTCCTCCTCCTCCCCCTCCCCACAAACCTCTATCCTTCACGATGTTCCCTACTTGGGCCATGAAACATCTGCAAGAAAACCACCCAGCTCAGAGAGCACCAGGGACCCCACAGTTTGCACCTAGCCTTGTGCCATGGATCCGCGTCTCCTTCCAGCAGGATTGCAAAGCCAAATGGCACATCAACTGAATTTTTAATCCTCTTCAGTGCCCCCTTTCAGCCTCCCCCCCCTCCACCCTGTGGCATCGGTTTCTACTGAAGCGGCAGTTTTTTCCTAACCGGAGAAACAGGAACGGTCTGGCATGGGTGGGACATGGATTCCTTTGGCCCCTGTTTAGGCAGAAACTAAAATGGTTTCTCCGCAGCTTGACGTCTGGATTAAATTAAGGGCAGGGAGTGGTTAGCAACTGGTTCCAGCCTTCCCCGTTCCAAGACAGTAGCTGTTTCGGTTCCCTGTCTGAGGAAGCCAACATTGTAGGCTTGCCGAGTTCATAATTCACTCGGGCCTCCCTAGGCAAATGTTTACCTCAGTGTTTCTCCAGCTTGGCGGCTTTCAGAGAGGCGGACTTCAACTCCCAGAATTCCCCAGCCAGTAGGGAGGCCTCGACTTACAAACACAATTCGGACTGTTGCTAAGCAAGCTGGGGGGGGGGGTTAAGTCAGTCCTGCCCAATTTTACTAGCCTTTTGAACACAACGGTGAAGGGACTCGCTGCCGTTCTTAAGTGCGTCGCACGGTCACTAAATGAATCCTGCTTTCCCCCGTTGACTTTGCTTGGAGGGAAGGTCAGAAATGGGGATCGCACGCCCGCGAGCAGCCGCGCTTGTCTTAAATGCATGCTGGATGCCAGCCAGGCGCCTTAATTTTGACCATGTGACCCTTAAGGATGCTGCTTTCATGGTCGTAATTATGAGGACTGCTTGTGAGTCACGTTTTTCTATGCCCTGCTAACTTCAAACGCTTGGCAAATGAATGGTTGTAAGTTGAGGACGACTTATAAAATACACTAAACAGGGAATTCTGGGAGTTGAAGTCCACCCCTCTTAAAGCATGGCTGGCTGGAGGATTCTGGGACTGGAAATCCACCCCTCTTAAAGCAGGCTGGCTGGAGGATTCTGGGACTGGAAATCCACCCCTCTTAAAGCATGCTGACTGGGGGATTCTGGGAGTGGAAGTCCTCCCCTCTTAAAGTATGCTGGCTGGGGAATTCTGGGAGTGGAAGTCCACCTCTCTTAAAGTATGCTGGCTGGGGGATTCTGGGAGTTGAAGTCCTCCTCTCTTAAAGCATGGCTGGCTGGAGAATTCTGGGAGTGGAAGCCCACTCCTCTTAAAGCATGCTGGCTGGGGAATTCTGGGAGTGGAAGCCCACTCCTCTTAAAGCATGCTGGCTGGGGAATTCTGGGAGTGGAAGTCCTCCCCCCTTAAAGTATGCTGGCTGGGGGATTCTGGGAGTGGAAGCTCACTTATCTTAAAGAATAGCTATCTGGGGAATTCTGGGAGTGGAAGTCCACCTGTCTTAAATAATGCTGGCTGGGGAATTCTGGGAGTGGAAACCCACCTATCTCAACGCGGCCAAGGCTGAGAAACGCTGATTAAGCTGCTGCAAGCAACAAGGGGCGAATATGGGGCCAGCCCCACAGGAAATCTACAAAGCTGCACATCAAAAGCAAGACAGCATCTCCGGCTGGGGTTTCCTCCCAGGAATGTGCATTATGCCTGCTGGGAAACACAAACTGCCAGAGATGTTGCAAAGCGATTTAATTTCTTGT